GTATCGAGACGACACCTTGTTATAATTGGTTCACCAAAGAGTCGGGGGGGAAGTGTAACTTCGTGAAGAAACCGAAGTCCGAAAGACCCGACCTCAGCCCGACCAAAAGCGACGTCTGTCAATCAGTTGATAGGTCTGTCAATCAGTTCCACTTCTCTACCTCTTTCATTCTTGAGTTATGCCTTAGAAACAGCAGCACATATTTTAAATAGGGTGCCAAGTAAAGTTGTGCCTAACACACCTTATGAGATGTGGTGTGGTAAAACACCTTCGTACAAGTATATGAAAGTATGGGGATGTGCTGCTTACGTGAAGCAACAAGTGGGTGATAAGTTGGATATGAGATCCATCTTATGTAAATTTGTGGGGTATCCAAGAGAGCCTATAGGATACTGTTTCTATGATCCCTCTGAACAAAAGGTGTTTGTTTTGAGGAATGTTGTTTTCTTAGAAGAAGAATTTCTTTCTAATAAGAATGGTGAGATTATAGAACTTAATGAAGAACCACAAATTAATCCACAAGTTGTCATAGATAACATACCAGTTGAGAATGGACCATCTGAAACACAACCTCTTCGGAGATCCATAAGGGTTTCTAGGGTGCCTGAAAGGCTGAACCTATTGTTAGAAAACAAAGAAGAGGGACTCCTTTTGGATAATGATCCAATAAGCTATGAAGAGGCAATGTCAGATATTGACTTAAATAAATGGCAAGAAGCTATGCAACCCGAAATGGACTTCATGTATTCAAACAAGGTATGACCTTGGTTGATCCACCACAGGGTATTGTACCCATAGGTTGTAAATGGTTTTACAAGCGAAAACGTGGTGTAGATGGAGAAGTGAATACTTTTAAAGCACGTCTGGTTGCAAAAGGTTATACTCAAAAAAAGGTGTTGATTATGAGGAAACTTTTTCACCAGTAGCAATGCTTAAATCTATTCGGATTTTGCTAGCTATAGCTGCGTATTATGACTACGAGATATGGAAAATGGATGTGAAGACTGCTTTTCTTAATGGAAACATTAAGGAAGATATTTATATGAAATAGCCACAGGGCTTCATATCTAGTGGGAGTGAGCAAATGGTTTGCAAACTTCAAAGGTCCATTTATGGACTTAAACAAGCTTCAAGGAGTTGGAACATTCGGTTTGATGAAACAATCAAAACATTTGATTTTCATAAAAATCCGGATGAACCATGTGTTTATAAAAAGGTTAGTGGAAATACAGTAACATTTGTTGTGCTCTATGTTGATGACATTTTACTCATTGGGAATGATGTAGGAATACTGCAGTCAACAAGGACATGGTTGTCAAAGCAGTTTTCCATGAAAGATTAGGCAGAAGCATCTTTCATCCTTGGGATAAAAATCTATAGAGATAGATTTAGAAAGATGATCAGACTATCCCAGTCAATGTACATAAATAAGATGCTAAAACAATTTAGCATGGAGGAATCTAAACGTGAATACCTTCCAATGAGTCATGGGGTTTCACTTTCTAAGGCAATGTCTCCAAAGACGCCTGAAGAAAGAGAACGGATGAATCATATACCTTATGCATCAGCTATTGGTAGCATTATGTATGCCATGTTATGTACAAGACCTGATGTGGCTCATGCACTTAGTGTAACAAACAGATATTAGTCTAATCCAGGTGAAGAACACTGGAAAGCCGTTAAGATGATTCTTAAGTACTTGAGAAGGACTAAGGATATCTTTATGATATACGGCAATGGAGAACTAAAACTAGAAGGCTTCACTGATTCTAGTTTCCAGTCCGATAAAGATGATTCTAAATCCATGTCAGGATACATATTTACCTTAAATGGAGCAGCAGTAAGTTAGAAAAGTTCCAAACAAGAAACAACTGCTGACTTTACAACTGAGGCTGAATACATTGCTGCATCAGATGCTGCAAAAGAAGCTTTTTGGATACGGAACTTCATTCAAGGGTTGGGTGTAGTACCGTCTGTTGTTGATCCAATAATGATTTATTGTGATAACAATGAGGCTATTGCGCAAGCGAAAGAGCCAAGATATCATCAAAGATCCAAACACATCTTGAGACGATACCATTTGATTAGAGAAATCATTGGTAGAGGCGACGTAATAATGGATAGAGTCGACTCAGAATAAAATATAGCAGATCCCTTAACTAAGCCTTTATCACAGAAAGTATTTAAAAGACATCTTGAGAAGATGGATCTGAAGTACATGGGTGATTGGAAGTAGGACAAGCGGGAGATTGTTAGAGTAGAATACCCGGCGTTCTAATCAGATTGGATACATTCTACTTGTAAAAAACAATTTATTGGAATTTATATTAACTAAAAGGCATTACTTTATCTTATGTATTTGCATATATTTCAACATATGATAAAGTCCCTAGATCATTAATAGCTATAAGGCATGGTTACGCATTGGATGGTAATCATGGAACATGCCTTGAAAGTTGTGATCTTAAATAAAGTTTCAAGTCGATGGATATTTCGAGATAGGATATCGAATAATCCGGAAAGACTTCCACATATGATGTATGCTTGTTGGACAAGAATGTTGCATTCCATCAACATTAGCGATTGACGAAAATATATATATATATGTGGGTGCTTGTTAGGGAACAAGTTCACTAAACATGACCGTATGAAAATTCTTAAATGGAAGTTTTTACTATCGAATAAGAATTTTCATGTTGCAATAGTACATGACTGATCCTTTGACTTGAGGCACGATAGTAATCTTGTGCATATTATACTTTACTTTGATTTATCCTTTGATTACTGGATAATTATAAAAAGGATATTTTGGGTATTGTATTAATATGTATGGAGGTTTGTCAGTGGCAAACAAAGAATTCGACACTTATATAGATAAGTGAATTTCCTATGTTTTTCATAGTTTGTGATTCAAAGACCTTGGCCAAGGCAGGATGAATATGCATTCATAAGGAACCAATAAACTTGAATTAAATCAATTGGGTTTTGACTATTAAATCCATGCCCAAGATTTAATCGGGAAATTAGTTGTCGAAAGGGTTTTACATGTATGTACTTGCAATTGGAAAAAGGTTTACTCGCTAATTCATTTAATACTAGAATCATGCTACTTGCTAGGTGTTACCATGGTTTGTGGGTTATTGAAATTAAGGAGTTAATTTCAAGAATATAAATTAATTAGATTAATTTAAATTACAAATGAGTTGTAAACCCACTGCTAGTGTTAATTGTGAATCTAAAAAGGTCACACCAAATTTTGAATGATAACATATTGAAATTGGTATTTCTAATAGTTGGATTAATTGACAAGAATTAATTAAATAATTTGATTATTAAATTAAAATCTAATTTTGATTAGATGTCAATTAAAGGAATAAAATAAATTAAGATTGATTAATTAAGCTTCGAATATTAATTAAGTAATTTTTGAAATTACAAATTGATAGTTGGATTTTAAAGTTGGACTTTAAAATTCAAATCGAAATATTAATATAATTATATATATATTAAAAGCCTATTTAAAAAGAGGAGATTTTATTTTATATGGAAGATAATATTTTGTTCACATAATTTTGAAAGTTGGTTTCATAAATTATAGATTATTATTATTAATTAATTAAAGATTGATAATAATAATAATTAAAAAAAAAAAAACGAAGTCATAGTTTGATAGGGTGGATGAATTGCTAATCCATTATCATACCCACTTTCTTCAAGTCTTCAACAAACATATTTTCTTCAACACACTACCAAATAAAGACCAAACATTCATTTATATATATATGTATATTAATTCACGTAACAAGTGGGTGAAGAAGAAAAGGTGATTACAAGAAGACAATTCTCCCATATTGTGAAAAGAGCTCTCGGTTTTTCATATAAAAAAAATAAAAAAAAATATTTTCTTCTCTTAATTTTAATTCCTAATATCGATTTAAATACGAGATAAATTCTACTCGTGAAAAAGGTTATCTCGGTGTTGGAATTCAAAGGTGGACTTGATTAGAGGGAAGGCACTTGGATCCCTTTAAGGCGAGACATACGGTGATAGCCACATAACCGGGAATTGGCTTCCACTCTGTCGTCGCTTTATGAAGAAAATTAAAGGTAATTTTCGAAATTCTCTCCAAATCAAAATTCGTATTTTATGTGATTTTAAAAGATGTTAGTCATTTTATTCATTATATGTACTTACGGATTAAGTATTTATTTGATAAATGATAATTATATTGTATAATTTCCTCTGCGATTTTAATCCGTACAGTATAGCGAACCAAACAAGTTGTAGATAATAAAATTGTCACAATTATCCTGAATCCCTAATTAAATGTTTCGGGAGGTACTAATGGACTTAATGCAATTGATCTTGTTTGTGAACGACTATTTCAATTTAATAGAATTTAACTTACAAGTTGCTTAAAAGTCATACTATTTGTAGTTTCATCACACTGTCCGCATGTAAAAGTTAATATAAATAGACCTACAATCTTTCAATCAATTATTCGGTGAATATAAAAGTTACTTTGATCATAACTCTATAAATATAACAATTCTTGATTTGTTACTTCAGATCCTACAATAAGTAAAAGTTAGGAGAAATGCTACTGTCCCGTGAGGGAATGATTCCCTCAAATCAATATAAGTCATTAAATGTGGTCAAATAAAAGTGACGTGTCAGTTTCTCATTGGAGTTTGATGTAAAAAAATGGTCTCGTTATGGGATTGTAGCATTTTCCAAAAGTTAGAAGCATGAAACAATCTTATTAACACGAAATGAACAGTATAAGAGTTGAAGATTAATGGAAAATTGTGTTGGGGATACTATTTTCTAATGAATTTGGTGAGACATTGGTGTGCCCTCCAAAATTCAAAGTTGCAATATTTCAAATCGTACAAGCAAAAGAACATTTTATACTGCTTTTGGTTGAGATGTGATGATATGGGACCATAAATGGAATGGGTACTATGAATTTTAAACATAATATATAGCACAAAAATCTATGGAGGAAAAGAGGAAGTTGAAATCATTTAAATTGGGGGACCGGTGAGAAATGAAGGGTGAAGGGGCCAAAGCAAACGTCTAGAATGGAAGGTTCAAGGTACCGCCACCAACAAAGGCAATCCAACTAAAGCAAATTACTTAGTTCATGGACCAACGCACGACTATAATAGATTTGGAACTTTAAGGGTGTGTTTGCTTATGAAATAACTCAATTCACATTCAATTCATACTTAAAAATCTAACTTAATTTTAATTTAACTTCATTATTATTAATATTATCAATATAAATAAATAATAATTAATTTTTTTATGCAAAATCACATTAACTTTTTAATTAACTGTTCATCAACTCACATAATTTTAAATAACCATCATTTCATATTATCTCTCTCATATTTTTTTATCACATCAACTTTATTTATTTTATTTTAAATATTATTTTAATATAAACACAAAATCCCACTAATAGCTAATTATATCACATTTTTCAAAATTAATACAAATTAACTAAAATAACTGGTTTTAAGCGGATATATTTGTATCGAAACACGCCTCTTTAAGATCTAATTAACTGAGTCTTTACTTATCTTTGTACCAATAAATTTTCGTGTATGTGTGTGTCGGATGATAGAAGAGGAGATTGGTAAATTTTTTCAAATAAATCTTTAATTGATTTTTTTTTAAGCTTCAAATTAAGCCCAAGATCAGAAATTCCCTCTGGAGGTGCATTCACAACTGGGTGGGCACCAAATGTAGGCTGAGGAAGAAAGGGAATAATGTTGATGTATTTTGTTGTTGGTGTGGAGCAGACGAAGAAAGTTTGGAGCATCTCATGTTTCATTGTGGGAGAGCTCAAAAGGGCTGGAAGTTGGTAGGATATGAGCTGGAATTGCTTGCAGGACAAACATGCTACATTTCTAGACTGGTGGCAATGTCTTTGTAGTCTGAGGACTTCTGAAATCAACCGGGATAGGGTCTCTCTTTCCAACTACCTCCTCTGGTGGTTGTGGAAGACAAGGAACACTTGATTGTTTCAAAATGCGAGGATCTATGAACTGCAACTAGTAGAGGGGCAAAGTTGGAGTGGCTAGAGTATGGTGAGCTTAAATTTGGTCGCAACCTATTCAGAAAGGAGCGGGAGGAGGCTTGCCTAATCACAAACTCTGCAGAGGTACAAGAAATAGGGGAGTTGCAGAAAGGTGCCAGTGTTTTTGCTTCTCAGCTTAAGTTTTGGATCATTCATGGGTCAGCTTATGTTCATTTTTCAGTGAAGGCTTTTTTTTCTCAATCTAGGGATGCTTATTCAAAGTATTCAGTAGATGGCTCTCTCCTGGGGCTCAGAACTTTGTTAGAGCAAGGTCACAAGCTAGGATGGGAAAGAGTGATGCTGAGGGTTAAAGACAAAGATATCTTACAGATGCTCTCTTGTCAAGCCTTATGCAATGTGGAATTTGATGTCCTTGTTGATGTAATTTGTTCTCTGTTGCATTTTTTTCCTAAGTTTGATCTAGTGGACTGCTCTTAGTTTTTTTTTCCTTTTGATAGGATGTGTTCTCTAGAGTTTTTTTGGTTTTTTCCTTTTCGTATTGTGTTATGACCTTGTTTGGTCTCGTAGGGTGCCTAATGTGAAGGTTACCTTGTACCCCTACTTTGCTTTGCTTAGCGGAGAGTATTGCGGCCACTTGGCTGCCGTGATGTACATTTCAAGTTGTTCTATGATATTTGATGNAGAGCCACACATATTTCATTAATTAGATGTGTTGCCCATTTCATGAGTTGGTTTTGGTATTATCACTGACAACTCGTGCTTCTTCTAGGTCACATCATTGACATTGGTGACAACTCATTTTTCATCTCGGTCACTCTTTCAACAACATTGCATCTTGCCGACTAACGATTTTCTTGAGTGAGATTCTTCCCTTTAGCAGATGTGATAACAATCTTTTGACTAGGTTAACAACACTCATCCTTTGACTGAAATGCACAATATCACAAGTAGCATTCGTCTTTCTATCTTTTCCCTTCCCCAGATTCTCTAAACTCTAGATAACTTCATCTTCGTCGTCTGTTTGCCTCCCTGCTCCCCGGAGTCGATTGACGTCAGCTGTAAACACCTTCTACTTATACTTTGAAAACGTTTGATTTTTAGAAATAATTTTGAACTTCTTCAAAAACAGTTTTAACTTTTGAAAACTTGTCTTAGGGTACTTACTAAAAACTTTTTTTGTCTTTCTTTCTAGCATTCCTTCTCTCTTGTTTTACCTATGTCTTGCACTTAGGTTCTTAGGAAATCTTTTCCTGAAACTTACTTTCATTTTCAATTCAATTTAGACAACGCATAGCGTACGAGTACTAGTCTTTAATTGAAATGAAATAACCGTATCTCAATTATTCAAACAACATCTCAAAAGTTTGATAATAACATGTTCAGAAATATTTAAGCGGAAGCAATAAATATTGCAACTTCGTAAGTTGACCACACTGCCCCTTGTTCGGTGCTAGCTGCTTAACTTGAAAATGATAATGTATGGGGGTGAGCAAACAACTAGGTCACCGTGAGAAAACTATGCAATTATTCAATATAACAACAGATAATATAATCTTTAATATGAACATGAGATAAGTTGTCTCATTTATCTCATTTATCTTATCTGCCTAATATGTCTTATCTATACAACTCGTTGGGATGACCTGGTTTTGATCGTAACGGAAGACTACCTCATAGCCCCAACAACATATTAACAACGGTAGTGTTGTTATGCAATATTTAACAATGATAATAACGCGAAGTTAAGATGTAAAGTGTAAAAAGTTTTGTATTATTGATGTACAATGATAGGTTACAGGAAGTCAATTTTCACATGAACTGAGCTGATTTGTATGAGCGTATTTAATGCTCGAAAAAAGATCATCGTCAATAATAAATTCTGCTATTTATAGTAACTTTTGTTTGGACTGGTGTACAAGGTAGGTGTGATTGCATTTAATGTTAAGTCACTTTATGGAGGCGGTTGTCGGCGAATAAACCCACAAGAATGATTGTAATTTGTGTGGTCGAGGTTCAATTTCGTAGGTGCCTCGTCACCTGCTGTCGATCTCGAATCTGAGGTAGGACCTCGGTTTGTAGGGTAGTCGGTTTATATCTAAGTGTAAAGTCGGTTCGGTGTTTAACTTGTACCGAGTTGCACCAAGTTGGACATTTTGATTGACTCGGGCGACGATCTTTGATTAGCATCCATAAATCTTTCTTATGAACTTGGTTAACCTGGTCAGTTATCAACATAGAGGCCCCGAACATTAGTAGGCATACGGAAAGTGATGGCTGTTGATGTCGCTTTTATACATATGAAATCTAACCTAGGTTATTTTTGTCGTTCAACCCGACGTCAGCTTTTATTCTGATGTCCAGGTACTTGTGCGAATTTGAGTGACGAGAGTTGTAAACTGAAACGGTGTAACGTTCACTGATAGTCATTACGTTATGAAAAGGCGTGCCTTCATTTACCACGTACAACGGACATAAATGGAAATAGCCACGTGTAAAAGGATGATTGCTCCATTTGTCTTAATGAAGAGGAACGAAACGTTTCACCTGAGGAGACGCGTCAATCACACGCGCCCTTCTCTCTGATACTCAACGGTCATAAAATCACCATTATAAATACTTGAATTTTAATCTCGTTGAGCTTCACCTCTGCAATCCTTAAATTAGCAAACTTTCTTAGTCTCTTATTCTTGAATCTCTTGTGTTTCAACTTTGTTGATTTCTAGTAATTGTGCATTTCTTGCCGATTTTTCCCAATTTCTCCGGCCAGGGTTTCCGTTTTTTTCAGTAAGCTTTTGCCTTGAATTTTCTTTTTTGTTTTTTATTATGATTTTTGCAATTAGTCGACAACTATGGAATCTCGAAAAGCGGGTGAAGCTATGTCCAGCGGTAGTAAGACGATATCCGAAGAAACAATTAACTCGAAATTGGTGGATTTGGCACACAAGTACTATCGATGGGACCCTATATTTGTAGAGCGCCTTGACATTTAATTGAATAATGTCGAGGGAGATTCTGAGGTTGAGAAGGATGTGATGGCGTTGCCAGATTATTGGAGACAGCCTACTCGTCAATGGCCAGACCCTAATGTCGATTTTTTAGGTGAACCGAGTATATTGACCGACGCTGACGTTGTGCTACTTCGAGAATAAATTTGTGTCCAATCGTCGGTGAAGCTCTTTGCGCCATACCCGGGGGAAAGGATAACTTGTCCTTCTCCCGGTTGGTGTTGGTATTTTTTTCCGAGAGCCTGAGGTCGGGGCTGAGGTTTTCTTTTCCAAACATAATAACCGACTATGTTTGTGATTGGGGGCTAAGTCTATGTCAAATCACCCCGAACAGTTGGAAAAGAATCATCGAATTGATGGTGCTGTTGAATGAGAAGGGTTGGGATTTTCCGTCATTAGATGATATGAGGAGCTTGTATACATTTAAGAGGAGCCTAAGTAGAAAGGTGGCTGAGTTGTCATGTTGTTTCTTCGGTGCAGGGAAACTTCAGTCAGGATTTAAAATTAGTGATTTGATAACCGATATCCCCGAAACTCTCCATGGCTTACAAGAAGAATGGTTGTGGGTTGGGGGCAATTGGCAATCTCTCGACTTCTTTCGTGATCCTCTAATAGATGGGATGACCATCCCTATGCATATTACTTTTGAATACTGTAAGTTTCGCATACTTTTTGAAGTCTTCTAATAACTTGTTGTTTTGTGTTCTAACATGCCAAGTCTTTTCATATTTGTAGCCAAACGATCAAAGGAACCTAACTCAGTGCTGAGCTCAGGGATAATTTATACGACCTCTTCAAATTGGGCTGCGAGGATCGTAGGTACCGAAGTCTCGTTAAGGATGAAAAACTTGAACTTGCGGATCTGTCTCCTGGTGTTACGTATTCTTCGTTTGATCCAAGTAAGATGATTCGTCAAAATCTTGTGGTAACATCATTTACTCCGACTTTTGTTATTGTGGGCATAATTGGTTTTTTTCTTCGCTGTCTTACAGTTTATTATCCATTGCTTGGTTTCTTTGGAGTCAGGTCGGTTGAAGACACCAAAGATTACCGACGTCAGTTACCAAACAAAGACCTTCGCACCAAAGTTGGCAACAATAAAGATCAACTTCTAACCGAAATGGACCGCAAACAGTTAGTCAAGGCGTTGATGAAGAGAGTGGTCGGTCATGGATCCACTGATGTCAGAGCTAGTGCGATATCGGGAATGGCGATTGGGACCTCGGTACCTAGTCTTGTTGTTGGGCAAGCCCCGAGTTCGACCCCGGTTCTAAATGTAGAGGCTATCAACCAGGCTGAGCCTGAGCCAGAGGGGATTTCTGAAACTGCGCAACCTGGCACGCAAATAATCATCCCAAGTTCGGATGAAGCCGAGGTGAACAAAGAGGCCGACGAAGAGAAGCGAACTCCGCCAAGAAGAAGGTTGAGGAAAAAATACGCCGAGGACGCTCCTGTCGGTGATGAGGAGAGAACCAAAAAGAAGCACGACGGTGGTCGACGTGGAAAAGAAAAGATCGTTGAGAAGTCTTTTCTAAAAGGCAAAATTGCATATTAATACACCACTTTTCATGTTTTTGCAGTTTAATCACCACATTTGAAATTATGCAAAGTAATACACTACCTTTACCATTTTTGCAAACCGATACATGAATGACGGTTCCATTAACGAAAATCTGGCATGGCATTGAGCCACGTCAATGCCATGCCAGATTTTTGTTAGATTTTTTTAACGGAACAATCATTCATGTATCGATTTCCAAAAATAGTAAATGTGGTGTATTAATTTGCAAAATTGTAAACGTGGTGATTAAATTGCAAAAACATGAAAGGTGGTGCATTAATATGCAATTTTGCCTTTCTTAAAATAATCGAGGAAAGGGCAGCTAACTTCAATTTGCAAAAGGGGATGGTGGAGAATTGGTATCCTACATTCCAGTCGGTCAAGATTCCCCGAATTCTAAATAAAGCTGATCAACTCGGCCTTGTGATTGATGCAACACGTGTTCCTCTGATGGCTTGGGACCCAAGGACCGAGATGGGCGTGTCGGCTATGCCGAGTATTCATAAACTCGGATATGCAAATTCTTGTCTCGGTTGGGCATTAGTTAATTTAGTTGCTGTTGAGGATGATTATCGACTCAATGCCGCCAAGCTAGTGAAAAAGAAAGAAACGCTGGAGTTTCATGACGGGACGATTGCTTCCCTACAAGAGAAATTGGCCAAATTGGAAGTAGCATGGAAGGAAAAAATGGTAGAGAAGGATGCTCAGCTCGGGATTGCGCAAGAAGAAATTTCAGTCTTAATGGCGGAGAAGGAACGCCTTCTTGCTGAAAACCAGAAGTTGACTGACCAACTTTGCGTCTTAGAACAGACTGCCAAATCTCGTGAAGACTGCATTCAGCGAGCATAGGTACGAGGCCGGACTTCAGGCGGGTAAGGATGTCGGAAATGGAGGATGCCGCAGATGATGTATAAGAAGAAACTGACTTGAATCACAAGTTGAGTACCTGTCTAAATCTTAGGTGGGTGATTGACCGAGTTCAATCCAGTCTGTACGAGCTTGATGATCTCCAAATTTTCCTGTTAAGGAAATTGGAGAAATACAACTTCAACCCCGAGATCAAAACCATGCACCTGCCTGCTGACGATGATGAGAGGGATTTTTTTTAATGGATGTTAGGTCGGTCTGATGCTCGGTCGATGGATCCCGAGCTCCCCGTCCTCAGTGAAGATAGAAAAGTCCTTCTTCGCAGTTTTCGTGGACATGCTCTTGGAGAGAGATAAAGAAAAGAAGGCTGAGTTAGCCGAGGTTTATATAGAGACTTTAGCCGATGTGTTTGTTGACCAAGGCCTCCAGGATATGTCTCCTAAATACATTAAGAGAGCAGTTGTGGCATACGCGGAAGATAAGGCAAAAGCCATGGCTGCGGAAGGTAATGAATTGGAGGCGCCATCAAACGTACAGAGACCAGTAGCTGAGATAACCGAACAGGGGTTAATAATGATTACGGCCGAAGTGATTAAGGTCGCGCAGTTGCCAAGGAAGCTACCGCATTGGAGAAAATTAGAGAGGCGATGATTGAGCAGCTGGACAAGGAGGTTGAGGAGATCCCGACAGAGGCAACTGAAAAAAGAGATGATGGTGCCGGGAAAGCAGCTGGACAAGTTCAAATTCTAATGAACTTGACCGTGCTCGGGAGGATGATTTTGAGGAGGAGGATGAGTTAGTTCAAGATGTTGTGGATGATATTGAGGAGGATCCCGAGTCGTTATGTGATGTCATTGACCCGAAGGTGCCGTTGATTGATGATTCGACTCTTGATATTGAGTATGAAGTGGTTCCCATGTCCTTTGTGTCGTCGTTTCGTGTTATTGAGGATTATGACTATTTGGAGGGGTTTAGTGGGTCCTCGCCCATGCTCCCGATGCTTGAGATCGATGAGTACACATTTGAGATAATACATATGATGATCATGATTGATTCGACGTGCTCCACGGACATTTTTGTATACCCTGAGGTCGATTATGTGGCTATGATTTGTAAAGACTTATCTCTTATCTTGGTGGTTGTTGATATACGTGCTCGGTTTCACAAGAACGCGGCCATGAGAGTTCATTTTTCCCCCCTTTGTTCCGCACTACCGTCTCGTCTACTTTTGGAAAATACAAAGGCGTGGCATGATCGACATTTCTTTTTGGACCCCGGTTGATTTTGGTTGAGGACGTCGAGCTCAAGACGTTAAAATGAGTGTTTCGTAGGAGGCGACCTATAATTTTTGCTTTTCTCGTTTTTCACTCTTTATCAAAGATAAACAGTCCCCCAGATCACACAACACACGAGTTGTTAGAAAAAAGAAACGGGACTCTGATCGAGATTTAGTTGAAAAAAAGTGTTGAAATTTAGGTAATTGTTGAAAATTTGGCTATAGGGTGAAAATTGATGAAAAGAAGCTTGTGTCGACCTGTTCGGCAGTACCGACTTGTTAGAGCCGAGCCAAAAAAAGAAGAAAAAATTTTTAGTGAACAAACGGGTCGAGAATCGAGCGAAAATGATGCTCGAAAGTTGAGTTGAACATTGGGTGTGAAAATTCTTGAAATTTGGCTAAGGATGAAATATTGAGCCAAAAAATGCCCAAGCCAGGGCCCAATCGCGCCTCGACCCCGGACTCACGACCAAGCGAGCCCTAGGTCGCACCGCGAGTAGCAGCCCGCGACATGGCGACCAGCCACTCGTGAGAGACCCTCACGTCGCAACCTTGCGATGCCCAGCTCGCGCGCACGCGAGACAGACTGCACCAGCGAACGCGTCCGTGCCTCCCTTCTGCGCCAGGACGCTCGCGACCCGAAGGCGAGCTCGCGATGCAGTGAAGCAGCATCTGCAAGCGACAGCCCGTCCGCGACCCTGCAAACCCGCGCCCGTGGGATGCCCTACACCAGCGAGATGCACCCAGGCTACCCTGCGAGTTAGGACTCGCACACCAAGCCCTGTCCGTGACCTATCGAGCCTCAGCTCGCGCGCGAGTGGTTGTTCACGACCCGGTGAGTGCACCTGGTACCCATTTTCTTCCCCAAGCCTCTGGCCACCACCTTTTTCAACCAACCTTCTCCAATTTATAAATTTTTAGATAGATATGTAGCTCTCCTCAGTGCCGACAACGTATTCGAATTTTAGGCAAAAATTCCATTCAAAAGACCTCTGATTTTCCGGTGGAAGAATCTAGATCTACAAATCTCACCGATCTTCTTTCCTATTTTCCTGGCGACTCACACGGACCCACAAAAATTTGAGGACACCTCCATAATCCTCATGCCAAGGCAATCATGATGCCGACCACCTTCGCTGGAACTAGAGAACTTTCCCGGCAAGCTATTTTTCGGCCAAAATTCACTCACTAAGCCCTCGGGTTTGTCGTTTTCGTCATTTTTCTTAGCAACCGTCATGGATTCTTCATGGGAGGTTTATTTTCTGGCCACTGGAGCTCCGAGCCATGCGTATCTCTCTTTCTCTACATTCCGACACCATATTTTCCGGCAAGCTTCAAGGTAACATTTACGGTTCGATTTTTCTTGCCATTGGTTGTGTGGAATGATGTGGAATACTACTCTTGTCGAGGTAGCGGTGCTGTGAGTCGAATTGAGAGATTGAGGTGATCTTTCAGTTGTGTTGGCCATGTCTTGTCGGTCGTGCCGAGTTTTTGTTGAATAGGTCACCGGATTAGCCTGTTGGTTCGTACGTTTGTTATGAAAATTGTCAAACGTTGTTTACCGAGCATGCCGTTGATTGAACGAGTTGGTCGTATCAAGGTCTAGAGGGAGTATTATTAGCAATTTCGGGCCCAATTTTGGAGTTTCAAAGTTTACTTGTGTCTTCGTCTAGAAGTTTGTGGATTCATGGATATCATTCCATCGAGATGCAACCAAGTGGCCCTTATTCAGAGTCTAGGGACGGTGATCATGACTTCTCTTATGATTTTAAATGATGATTCGTTCGGATGGCTTATGGAGCTATAGTTGTGCAAAGTACAACTGTTCGGATGATTTTGTTTCGAGCTCGAAGGGCCTTCGGGCCGATTTCCTTATTCCCATTGGACGAACACCATTGGACCCACGGTGGTGCACCACCGTGTAGAGGACGCGCATGCTTTTCCTTATTTCCTTTTTCTCTTCTTTCTTTTCCTTGTGTTTTTGTGTGCTTGTTGTCCTTGTTTCCATTTATTGTTTTTCGATTATGTTCATCGCATGAGCTTGTGTGATTATGTGTTCCTTTCATATGCTTTTTGGTCAAGCAATGAAGAAATTGCTTTGTTTTAAGTGAGGGGGAGAAATTTCTCGATTATGCATGCTTGCGATGTTTCTTTTGTTTTAAGAGCTTTATTTTTGTGTTTTTTGCATCTTGGACCGGTTTTTGTTTTAGTTTTTGTGTGTTTGTGTCGATTTCCCCGCATGAAGCTCAATGTTTGTTCAAAGTCAAAATGGCTAAGTGGTGAGTTGAGATTGTTGATTGGTTACATTGTTAATTTTCATGCCTTATGTGATTGATGAATTTGATAGTTTCCTAAAATTAAATGACGATTTGTTGACATTGGAACCCGCATTTGAGTTCACGGAATTGTTTTACCCTTGTTTGTTTGCGATTAGTTGTCTTGAAACATTCTTGCCTTGTGCTTGATTTTTGTAATCGTGTTGTGCTTAGATGCGTGTGGTACGTCTTGTTGCTCGTTGATGTTAATATTACGTGTTCTTGATGTATCCTTGTATTGCCACTCCCTTTGTAAAAAAAAATAAAAAAGAAAGAAAGAAAAAAATATAAAAAAAAGAATAACATGTGAGTTCGCGAGGAAGTACAGATTATGCTCCTCTTATTTCGATTCATCTCGTGGAATGAGATAATGAGCTCAGCAAACCGGTCAAGGAGCCTCGAGGAAATCCACCGAGGGTACACCTAGATAATAATCATCTGGAAACCTCGTTTGGAAAAACGTAGCTCATGAAAAAAAATGAATAAAATGAGCTCGTGAGAGTTGGAAGGATAAGACTCTGCTTGACCCGGTTAGTCTCCTTCTAGATGAATTGGGGCAATAAGTATGGAAAATCGGGCTAAGAGACTCGGGGACAAACCCCGAGGTTAAACCTAGGTATTAATCGTCCTAATGACTCTCATTTGGAAAAAGTGACTCATGTCAAAAAAATGGGGGAAAAGAAAAAAAATGGGCAGTTGGCGTTAATGGTTTCGTGCTTATCATCTCTTATATGTTGAGTAGACCGTTTATAGCTTTTTGCACGTGTATTTGAAAAAGAAAGTTTGAATTGAGTAAATCATGTGTAGAATGACTTGGGACGGATTTTGTTTTGTATGAATTCATTTTGTGGGGACCATGTTTTCGAATTTGAGGGTCATTTTGTGGATAAATGGAGGAAGAAGACAATTTCATTTCGCATGATCATTAATTTTGAACTTTTTGATCTTTCTTCTCGAGCTACTTGTTGTTTTGTTTGCTTGAGGACAAGCAAAGAGTTAAGTGTGAGACAATTGTTTGTTGTGTTCTTGTGGTATTTTTTGTGTGTGTTTCATGCCTTAGTAGTGTATTTTTAGGTTCGTTTTAGTATCGATCGGTCCATTTTATCGTCTTTCGTATTTTTGCTCTCTTTTGTGTTTTTGTCATATTTTCTCGTCTCTTTTGGTGTTGATTAGGTCCATGTTGCAAATATTGGGAAAACAAGCCATCGCTCGAGCCATTATCCGAGCTATTCGAACCATTGCCAAGCCGTTTGAGCTATCCCGAGCCATCCCGGGCCTTTTTCGAGACATGACCCGCGCACAAGGTACTTTCCAGTGAACCACCATCCATGACAAGACGAGAGCCGCGAGATTTGAGCATTCGCTGCGAGCGTCCTCTCGCGAGGCTGCGAGAGAGACGTCCAAGAGACCTGTATGCGCACCCAGCACTCACCGCGAAGCACAATCAACGACAGCACGAGATGACCCAAAAGAAGATGTGCCACTCGCTGCGGGCTTCATTCCGCGAGCCTAAGGGATACCCGCGCGAGACCCGTCCAGCCCACGACAGCACTCGCTGTGAGACCTGGTCCGTGAGAACCCGAGAGACCGCGAGAGAGCACGCAAAGAGGTGCGACACTCGCTGCGAGTGATGACTCACGAGCGCGCAAGGAGGCCTGAGAGCAACCTGGAACTCGCAGCGAGATTCATCTCGCGAGAACGTGAGTCGGGCGCGAGAAGCCACGAGGAGGCACTCGCTGCAAACGAGTACTCGCGACCTAGCAAGTCAGACCCGAGGCCATCCTTACACACTCCACACTCGCTGCGAAATTGATTTGGAGACCTGACGAATTGCAGAATTCATTAAATGTGTGTGTCTTTAGTGTGTGTTTGTGGTGTAGCTATATATAGACATCTTGCTTTGTATTTTTGTACACCACCCTCATTTCCCAACTTTTTAGTAGGGAAATTAGCTCTCTCTTTTTATTTTCTCTCTATCTTTGTGTTGGGAGCTCCATGATTCATATTTTTTGGCGACTTTATTTTTATTCAAGATTCGTGCCTTTCACTCTGATTTTTTCAAGCATGCAATAAGAGAATGAGTACTTAGTTTTAAGATTCATTACTCTGTATTTGTTCCGCTTTTTGTTTTCATTGTTTGTCTAAGTGTGTTAGGAATATGCTTAGTGCAAGGCTTAATCATTTAGTAAAGAAGGCTCATGTTAGATTACCTAGGATCATTTAGTTGGCATGTTTCTCTTAGTTTATTTTCGTTTTCTTGAGTTGTGGAGACTTCGTGCAACTAAAGTTTGAATCTTTTCTTCCAAAACTCTCATCTTTCATCTAATGCTTTCAATTCTTAGTGCAAATTAGCTTAATTTCAATCACATTCAGACGAGTAGCATGTTAAGGACCTTATTTTTGGTTTTGTGATTCGACAACTAGATAGTAAACAATGCTCTGAACAACCTTCCTTCGAGAAGACGACCTGAGGTCAAAATTTATTTTGCACTCTCGGCTAAAAACTACAAACACTAAACTGAAGTCGATCCCCCAATCCCGAAGGCACATGGACAAGATCCAATGGCGGGGACAAAAAAAATCGATTTCTTGAACTTGTTCGCTAATTATTTCGCCATCCGCAAGTGTACGGTGTAGCTATAAGTAGTGGCAAGCAAGGTCGCATTCTATAGAGATTGTGATTAAATTAATCAAATACTAATATAATAACGATTAAATATTATTTAGACCAACGAATTTAATGATGATGATTATAAACTGAGAAACTAAAAATTAACTTATCTAAGAAATAAAAGCATGATCTAAATAATAAAGAAGATACAAAATATAGATTCTAGGCTCAACGTTTCACGAAATTAATTCATGTAACGTTCAAATTCAACCAAACCTTATTTAATTTTACCAATCGTAGAGATAATCGCTATCTACCTCCTCTAGGTCTTAAGATGAACAACTAACTCCTTAAGTTCTTAGGATTTTTGTTCTCTCAGAAGGTCCTATCAATTTCTCGGTCTGTTTATTCTCTTACGTTATAAATTTTCCAAATCTAGCAATCAATTATCTCCTCTCGGTCTCAAATAAATCACAAATATGCATTCATAGTGGCCATCTACTCATACAATAAAAATAAGCACAAGAAATTCATAAACGAAAGATAAACTGGAATGAAAGCAATAAAAAACTATATCATAAATTAAACCGAGTGCTAAAAAATCTTAGAATCTAAGATAAAACTAGTCTAGAAACATGCTTTCAAAATCATAAAAATAAATATAACACTCTGAGTTCAAAAGAGAAAGAAAAAGAAAGTAAAAGCTTCGTCGATCTCTTCTTCCCGGCTTTTTCGCTTGTCTTGCGTGTGTTTCTAGCCTCCAAAAGTCTCAAAAAATCTGAAAATTTCTCCAAGACTCCTCCAAAAATGTGTCCACGTGTTATATCAATAGTCGAGGTCGAGTCCTAGTCGAAATAACTAAAAAGTACTATAGGAATAGAAAAAACGCGTCAAACGCGTATGGGATGTGCCCAGGTCCACACGAATCGTGTGAAAATGTCATCTGAGTCGTGCGTAAATGTCGTGAACACATATTGGACGCGTTCGGCGAGACACATGTCTTGTCCAACGTCACACGACCCGTGTTGACCTGGGCACCAAAATTTCATTTTCAGCGTTGCTCATGACTCATAGTCGATTTTTCAGCGTCTCAGTCAACTCTAGGTGGTCATACGTGGCATCCAAGTGTCTTTCATGGCAGATTCTGGTCGGCTTCCTGCGACGGCATCAAGACGCGCGATGGTGCACAACAACTCTTTGGAACTTCGATTTCTCTTACGGCGCTCAGTGGTTCATGTCGGTGCTAAGAACATCATACAGTTGTCAGGATTGAAATCTCTGGTCAGCACGCAGCAATTTTCCAGCAACACAGCTGCATATCCGGCGACAGCATGGCAGGTGGTGCTCTGATCGGATCTCCAGTGGAGATTTGGTCCGGCAAAGAGCGGTGCTTCATGCGTCCAGCAGCGGCAAGGCTTCAGTTGCAAGCTTGGTAAAAAAGAATAAACTTGGAATGACATATATACCCCTCAATTAAATTCCTTCTTGGACTGGGCTTCTTCTGTTTTAATCACAAGTAGATGGGTTGATGCATGCTGGCCCAGCTTCTAATTGTAATGAATAGCTTTCAATTTAAATGGCTAGCTTTCAGGCCATGTAATTGGATGTGGTTCTTTGGAAATCTTGGTTCATTTGTCTTCTTTTTGCCTCTAATAATTTTTTCCGACCCAATTGCCTATAAAAACTCAAAATAAAACACCTCATCGTATCTTAGTAAAATTAATTAAATGAATAATTAATTATGCAAATCAAACTATAACAAAACAGACACGAAAATCACTACAAATACACATAAAAATAACGCATGTCACACGCCAATGCAACCGGCTGACGGGCAGTGGATTTTCTCTCGGCAATACGGCGCGAACACCTGGATCTCTCTCGGCATCTGGATAGTATATCAAAATTTCACGATCTCGCCGTCCGTCATTGAACTCGGAATACTCCCTAGACCAAAAAGAGTGAGCGACGGCCAATAACGGTGTGGTCTGCGCTAGAAACCGGAGGGATAGCTCGCCGACTCTTCGGCGGCTATATCTGTGTCTGGGGTCTCGCATACTAGGGACAGTCTCACTCGACCCCTCGTATCTCCTTGTAGAGCTTATTCCACTCGGTACTTGTCATAATTCCCAGACGAGAGATATATCTTGTGCAAAAAAATGGAAAAGGATGACGAGTTAAGAAATTTTACCGAAAAAATTACGAGAAGGACGTACAAACATGGAAGAAATCCTGATCTGAAGTGTAGAAAATCTTAGAGAAACTCTTGCGCAAGAGCG